AGAGAGAGAGAGAGAGAGAGAGAGAGAGAGAGAGGAGGGAGAGAGGCGGAGAGAGAGAGAGAGAGAGAGAGATACAGAGAGAATTGCTGGCGCCGGTTTAATTTATCTGAATTTACGGCGCTGAAGATGCCTCGCCGTCTGTGCCCGGCTGGAGGAGGAGGATTGCGAGAGTGGTAGGCGGAGGGAGAGGGGGGGGGAGGATTTTGCACAGAGCCATTTTGGAATGCAATTAAACGCAGTACAGTGAAACACGATGCCACCGCCGCCGCTGCCGCCGCCACCGCCGCCGCCGCCGCCGCCGCCGCTGCTGCTGCTGCTGCTGCTGCTGCCGCTGCTGCTACTGCTTTCGTCCTCCGCAACCCCTGCTATGTTCTGTCTCCCTTCGCTTCCCTCCCTTACACCCTCTCCCGCCTAGCACCTGCCGGTGCTCTTTGCTTCGTACTCGAATGCCTTGATGTGCCCAGATATAACAAACAGGGTGCTTTCCGAACGGACGAGTCCTGACGAGGCGCAAAGTGGATTCGCGCCTCGTCTCGGCGAAATGCGTTTCATTGCTTCAAAGCACTCTCATCGTATACCGAACAGATTTAATTCGAGAATTACTTCGACGGAGCATTATCGTACTACCATCCGATGTGACGCTGGAAACGCTATAACGAATAAATACTTGTGTTCCCGAGCAGCTTACTTAATTAGCAACGATTTACAAACGTACCTTGTACAGAAAAAATCATTTCATATAAAAATTTTTATAAATCGCACAAATAAATTTATAATAATTTATATGAAATTATATAAGACAAAAATATATAATAAACTAATATAATATATTAAATATAATATATTAAATATATTAAATCTCAGAGTGTACTCTATGAAAATAATATAGTATTTATATAAAACACTTACAAATATTCAAGTAAATAAATTTAAATTATAGATGTGGAAACGATAGATTTTAATAATAGAAAATATTTTATTTCTAAATTAACATCATTTCTAGTAACATTTTAATTATATAATACTTATACTTTTTAGATGACGGACTATTTTTAAACTTTACTAAATTATCCTCCACTTTTAAATTTCACCCCTTTTCCGTCACTAATAGATACAACCAAACTTACAATTAACAAGTTAACTTGTTTTCGAAGATCAATTGCTTGTAAACGACGTACACTCGAGCGAATATCGGATTGTCAAGTGTGCCTTTAGATTTAACAGGAATGAAGGAGGGACGATGAAATCGGCCGTCCCCGGATTCGTTTTGATAAGGAAGAGCATCATCCCTATCCCAAGGGTCGGGAACGGGAGGACATACGAAGAGGGTGAGAGAGACAGAGAGGAGGAGAGAAAATGGCGGCCCAGAGGGAAATCCGACACCAAATCGAAGGAGACGCCATCGCAAAGCGCGGCGCCGCCCCTTTATCATTGGGTCTTGGCACGATGTCATCCTCGAGTCTATAAGCTTGAGCGTAACCGGAAATCGGAAAACAATTATCATAATTTTCTTTGCGCTTCATACATCTAAAAATTTGTTTTTCTTGATTTATATCACACAGTGATATTAATTAAGAAGGTATATATCTCACGTGTCTATTGTAACAGGTGAAATTTATTTTAAAAATTAATGGCAAATCCGGAGTTAATTGTTAGCAAAAGATAAAGAGAATTTTAGACTTATTGTTAGTTATCGATGTACCTGATTAGTCGATTTTACGTTACAGGAAACATTTATCTTTTATAATTATTGCAGTATATTTCAAATAAATTCTTTGTTTAAAATCTAAATGTCTAAGTTTACCACTCCAAAACATGTTACGCTACGTCTACGTAATTTGACATACAAATGACAATTAGCTGAAAAAGGCGGAGCAGATTCAAAGGATTGGCGAGGCGTGCCGAAGAAAACCGTCTTCACTCATCTACTGAGCATCGGTTCTCTTGATCTATATAACACCGCCAGACTTTTCAACCAGATTTCCATCACGTGACATCCTAAATCTGCGTTACTATTGTTTTTACTTGAGTTAATCAATCTTTATTTTATTGAAAAAGGAATGTGAATAATGTCATAATATCAACATATTTTTTTAGCAAGAAAAAGAAAAAAGAGAGAAGAGAGAGATTTATATAGATTTTTATTTATCTTTTATTTATATTTATGTTTTAGTGTGTGTATATATTTTTATGCTTTTAAGAAAATATAAATAAACATATTATTTATTTATATTTTATACGTATAATTTTATGTTAATCAAGCAAGTTCTTGAAAATGTTCTTGACAATTAAATTAATTTAATTATCATGCGTAATAACATGTGATGTAAGATTTCAATTAAATTGGATAAAATGGAGGTAAATGATCGAAATGCATGTGTGCAAGATACGTAACGGTAAACGATATACACGATAGTCGTGAATGAACGAAACCGATCCTTGGGCGTGTACGAGTTCGTATTCGGACCGATCTACAGCTAAAGTTACGTTTGTCGTTGGATCATATTTGCAGAAATGTGTATCATAATACGACTCCAGAGATGAGACGGCGACCTTCGCGAGGGGGTGGAAATCTTATCGTGAAAGATATACTCTAAAAAAGTCGATATTCGCCTGCCTCTCATCACATTATCCTATCATTGGAAGTATGTCGAAGTATATTACTCTAAAATCTAAAATAAAACAGAAATTAGCATAATAAATTATAACAATTGTGCTTTAAGATGATATAATAAATAATTCGACGATTATTTTATACTCGTTTAAAACTTTTATATTTTAACACAATAATTCTTACATATTTCATATTAAGTTTTATATTTTTTTAAAAGTTTTACTATAGATATACGAATTTTGCCAGAAAAATTCTATTATTAAGTTTTATGTATTATCATACGTCTCAGTCGCGCATGTGTTACGTGTAATAAATTATCCAAAATTTGACGTTTAAATGATCTATAAACAAATAACGGATTTCCTTTCGTCAAATCTACCGATGAAGGGTGAATGATTATTGCCGGTTGTTGTGAAATTAATCAAACACAAGGCGATAGCGTTGCGTGGAATCACAACACGGTGTACGGTAACGTTGACACGTTCCATTTCCGGTGTTTATTGGTCACACGCGTATTTCGTGATTCCTCGATAGCTCCGTGATAGTGGAAAACAGTGTCTACTACGCGAAAAAATTGCACAAAAATTGCTAAACGTCGTAAATTGGAAACTACTTAATATATAAGGATATAAATAAAATCAAATCTTCGATAAGCAAATTTCTTTACTATGCACTTCTATACAAATTTTTATTTTAAACTTTAATTTTTAATTAAAATTAAAAAATGGTTTATAAGCTTATAAGATTAATAATTAAAGATAATATATGATAATAAGATCGCATTATAGTACAAATATTTATACTTTGTTATGTGACTTTGTTATTATTTTGATAATTTGTATTTATTAATTTTAATATACAATATATAAGCTAGTACAAAGAATTAATTCAGGTCGTCAGTTCTCATTTATTATTTTTAATATTAAACTTAAAGCAAATTTTACAAGATGAGCAAAATAATAGAAAATAAATCTTTCACTAACAATATATGTAATAAATTTATTTTTAACTATTCTTTCGAGAATATAATTATATCTATAGAGATATACGGGTTTTATTAAGGCTATTCAACATGAGAAAGCAAATAAATATAAATATGAAGAATGGAGGGTGAGGCCAAGGGGAAGCCTGAGCACAATACCATAATTCGTCACTTCAGTTACATAACAAAAGAAATTACGCGAGTCCGATTCGAGAAAGGAATCGCCGAAATTCGATATATCCAGGTAATCGGTCTGTCGCGGAGGTCGCCAGGTGAGAATCCAGCTCGGAGGAATCGGAAGCGTCGCGGGGCCGGCGGCGACTAGGATGGGGTGAAGCTCGTGGTCGGTAGGGGGTAGAAGATTCGCACCGCCCCCGATTTCCACCAATGGAGCACAGCGGTACGTCGCACGACCAATCGCCGGGTAGTGGCTGTGCCATTCCTCGCTTATCGTGGTGCCGAAATAAAAGAGAAGGTTGAACAGGAGATTGCAGAGGGAAAAGGAGAGAGGAGGAGAGAGATGGAACAAGAGAGGAGAACGAGAAAGAGAGAGAGAGAGAGAGAGAGAGAGAGAGAGAGAGAGAGAGAGAACGATATCGGCATCGGCATCGTCAGCGTTGCCACCGGGCACCACCACAACCGTCGTCGGAGGCCGCCGCACGACCACAATTCAACGACGGAAGCCAGCGGGACGACGGGTGCCGCCAGCCGCACCGCGAACGCGACGACCGTGATCGCCTTACTAACTTGGTGACTTGGTCACTCAGTGAGAACGTCTGTCGCGGTCAAAGGCATCCTCCTAAGGAATATCGGTTACGCAATCGGTTGTTTGTTCGCGCGATCGCCTATCGGTTGCTTCACAACGCCGTTGCATCTGACGTAAAAACGGGGTTGGTTGCGGACACTCGATACACGAGAAGTGAACACAAGGAAATCCAACAGTGCACTGGTATTACGCGGTGGTGTGTTTACCAGAAGAATATACATATACACGTACTTCCTTTTTTATGGTTGGTTCAATGCCTTCGCTGCGGGATGTGGTGGATCACAAGGATAATAGTGGTTAGTCACGAGGATTAACAACTCAGGTAGCGGATTTGGAGGACTCACACCTGACGGTGTAAATAAATGGACTGATAATTGGTATCTTTAAAAAAGACTAAGCTTTCTCAAAAAATTATTGTGAATGTGAGAAGTAGCCCCTATTATGATTACATAATTTATTATGAACCTTGTCGAAATCGAAGAGCTCACACTTTCAGACGCCGCCGGAACTCAAGCCTAAAGTTATTTGCTTACAGTGCGGAATTTAATTCAACACGATTTTGAAGGACAAATAAATAATCATACGCGTAACAGGAATTTTTTAAAATTTGTCTTTATTAACAAAGAACGAATTATTTTTATTTGTAGAATTCAAATTTATAGAATTTATCAAAATGTAGATGTAAAAATAAGAATTTATATTCTCTCTTTCTTTAGCCCTTAATCTTTTAAGGAGTCAAGACGTGGCGACCTTTTTTGCATATATTCGTCGGCTTTAGAGAAGAATTATTAAAAAATTAAATAATAGTCACTGTAATGAATGATTAATAGATAATCATTACAAATTCGAATCACTCTTCTGTGATGAAGTGTACGGACCGTCGGATATATCGTGAGAATATAGTGATTGTTTGATAAAAATTTATAATTGTACTTATAAAAATTATCTTTTTTATTTATAATTAAACTTTGCGAACAATTTTTGAAATTGTGGTTTAAAGTATGTCACAACTTTATTTGAGTGAGTCTTGATGAATGGGAATGGAGTCGGGCATCGACATGAATGAAACGCGCGTGATTAAACAACCGTCGCGTTGACTTGAACGTGCGAATAACGGATGCTTACTTTCGTCATCAGTTATTCATCCGGCCGATCTATAAGACATACATACAATACTGTGACAGACAATGCCCCGATTTGCCAAATGGCAAAAGCGGGAAAATAAGAGTTTCTCGTAAGAAGCCGTAGGCTGTAATCTCCAAATTAAAGATTTTACGATAAAAATTCTACCAATAGAAAATCCAAAGGCAAGAAATGGACAATAGACAAACATCTGTTGGGAATGAAATATATAATGATATAAATAAAATATATTATGTCCAAAATTTCAAGTGAATTTTTTTAACTTAATGCAGATGAGCTGCATGACAAATTGTTAATCTTGTTAATTTAAGAGTTGACTACGACCGCAATTCAGTTTGTAATTTAAAATAAATAGTCGTTGAATTAACTTTGAAAAGGAATCGCGAAGGAGTCTTTGCGTCTTCGAACGTTTTTCGCGCTTGAGATCGGCGAATGAGCACGGAATTCTGTCTCCTATCCGACACCTGGATTCATGAGAGGCACGCAGCCACCAGCCAAGGATGTCGGATAGTTCGGATCAGCTGTCATCACCGAACAGCGACTGTAATAGTCAAATGGGCGTCGTGCATCGCAATGCAACCGCGCAATACAACAACACATCGTCAATGTCCGGTCTCGGGCTGACTCATCATCCTCAAAATCTAACGCCGACATCGAATGGCAGTCCCCAATATTCGCAGGAGCTTTCCACCTGCAACTCTGCCAGCGTAAACACCAACATCGGGAACATCAGCGGTCTCTCCCTTAGCAGCAGTACTAATAACTTTACACCTGAACAGATATCTTGCATGTGCGAGGCGCTGTCGCAAAGCCAAGACATTGAGAAACTATCCAGGTAATTCAAAGAGAATGTACTTTAACTCGTTATATATTCTTTATTTATTTATTCAAAAACTGCAGTATATAAGATTTTTAAAATTTCTGTTTTTTTTTTTTCAATAAAAATCCTAAAGTTAAACAAAGTTATTTTTCTATAAAATCTATTTTTTAAAAATACAATAAATATTGATACCAGATTTCTTTGGTCCTTACCGCCTGGAGAACTGTTGCGCGGAGGCGAGAGCGTGCTAATGGCGCGTGCCGCTGTTGCTTTTCACCGCGGAGCCTACCACGAGCTTTACTCGATCCTGGAGAGCCATCCTTTCTCGCCGCGTCGACACCCCGAACTCCAGCAGATGTGGTTCAAGTCGCATTATCGCGAAGCTGAGAAAATTCGCGGTCGACCATTGGGCGCCGTGGATAAGTATCGGTTGCGTAAGAAGTATCCCCTACCGAAGACGATCTGGGACGGCGAGGAGACCGTGTACTGCTTCAAAGAACGATCGAGGAACGCTTTGAAGGAGTGCTACATGAGAAACCGATATCCTACGCCGGACGAAAAGAAGAATCTCGCGAAGAAAACTGGCTTGACGCTCACGCAGGTGTCCAATTGGTTCAAGAATCGCCGACAGCGAGATCGCACGCCGCAAACAAGAACGTGAGTTTTTTTTATAAATAAATTTTTACAAATTCTTGAAAATGCACTATAAATGAGAGCACTTAAGTTGCAAATATATTTAAATACACGCAGGTTGTTATTGCAGAGAAGCATTTAATCAGAAAAGATTTTCCTTGTGAATCGAGAATTGGATTAATCAAACGAACAAATTTAACGAATTTTGTATGAAATTGGCTTTATTCATATTTATTAGGTATTCGCAGCGGCGCCTTTCCTTTAAACCTATTCGCCTGTATTTTTTCATATTTTCTTTCCTCGATGTAATATTTTTGATACTTTTTACCAGAATTGGGAAATAATATTAACACCATTACTGTTACAGTTACTTTTTTTAAATGTTAAAAAATCACTAAGCTCACTGAGCTGTTTATCATGTTAAAGTTTTTAAGCATAAAATCGAGTATAAAAAAGTATAAATAAAGGCTGTATTTATAAATTTAATGAAAATCAAAATTCCATTTATTTTGAACATTTTAAAATCTTTCTTCTTATTAAATTTTGATGATTTTACGAATTTAAAATAAAAAGCTTTACTGCTTTCATTGATATTTTAAAAATATTATTAAAAGTATTTTTTTAGTCTAATCTTGCTTTAGCATTAAAAAGATAACGTAAAAAGTAACGAATCGTTACCAAACAGCACAATAAAATATATCGAGGCTTTTGTGATTTACTCGTCTCTATATTAATACATGTTCTTTTTAGTATTTTTTAATTTTTTGCACCATTAATTTTTTTTCTTCAAAAAGAAAGAAAAAAAAAGATAAAATCGTGCGTGAAATTCAGTTAAAAGGTCCATATTTATGTCAATTTATATATAGTTTTATTTTCCACTAATGAATACTAAGTGAGGATTATTATGTTCAAAATCGAATTCGCTACACGTCACGTTGTCTCACCACGGGTACTTACATATGTCTGCGCGCGACGGGGGGTCTCCTTTACACATCTATATTATTCTTTTCAAGGATGCAACAAGTGTTTCACAAGTGTTTTCTTTTCAAAATTCTGTCCGGAAACAATAAATCATTTACTTATTCTACTAAATAGCTTTTCAGTGATCATCTTAATTTTGAACAAAACTTTACTTCTTCGAATCTTTATATGATAACCTAATCCAGAAGTATAAGCACTAATTTAAAAACGATATAACTTAGGAAATCCAACCATTTGAAAAATTAAAAAAGTTTGATATAAAAATTTCGTCTGTTATATAAATCATTTGAAGAAAAATTTATATTTTGCAATAAAAGTAATTATGGCTGCGAAAACAAGATTATGTTATTTTGAGTATTGCATCAGTGAATAAATCGCGATAAAGATCACATTGGAAAGAAATTTAGTATTAAATTCTGTATTTGAAGAAACGTTAAATAACTTACGTTTTTCTTTTTTCGCAGTTGAATTAGATTATTCAGTTTAATGTACAGATTCTTACGTTTTGCATCCACAAAAATATTTATTATACTCAATATGATAATCGAGCGATGATATAATCATGAGACATTCTTTGGGGAGCCAATGTTGTTCGATTCTCTTTTCCGCTCGGGTGATTATCTAATCCGCGTGTTTATCTAATTAATGTCCGCATCGTGTTGACGTCCTTTGTGACGATTATGAGTAGGGGGATAAAGTCTGGCAGCTCCAACACTCGTTGGGGTCGTTATGTTACGCGCGAGGTTCATTGGTAAACGATACACTCGGGAGAGAAAAGCGGCGGGAGAGACGTAGAAAAAAAAACGCAGAGGTAGTCACGCTTAGATAATGCCGGACGCGTGTTCAGCCGTTTATTGACATAACAGGGGCCGCAAATTACGATAAGATCAAGCAGCGTAGACTTAATCTCTCGATCGAAACACACGGGATCGAGAGCAAAATTCCCGGAGCGACGCATGAAATCCGTCGCATTACGTCAGGCTAAGAACAGTCTGTTTATCGTATATATTGAGTTGAACGGAAAATTCGGTTCCGTTTCTTTTTTTTTTATATTTATACTAATGCCATCTCTTAGCAAACAAAACAGTACGAATTTTCTGTTTAATCCAATAATATGTGCTAACGAGTTTACGGGTTTTCTTCATGTCTTGATTCATTGTTAATACACCCCCAAAAAAATATTCTATTTGTAAGTTGAGAATTCTTAACATTTCCTTTATGAAATATCTTGCAAAAAATCTTACACAAAGCATATTCCTCTACAAACACATATTTATCTATAAAAAAGTGGCGCATGTACTATAATCAAAACTCAAGAGTTATACGATATTTCTCTAAATTTTAGAGTATCTTTTTGAGACCGAATTTCAGAGAAAAGTCCTTTAGAAATCAAGAAGGTGCCGCTAAAGGATAGAATTTTTTTTTTACTGTATCAATGCCATAGGCATGACATTAACAATGAATCAAGACATAGAGAAAACCCGTAAATCTGTTGGCACTTTTAAAGAGAATACCCGTGAAAGCTGTGAAAGTCATGAACATAATCCAATAATAGGAATATTATAATCATAACTTAGCGTTACGTGATAACGATAGTATAATAAATTATTTTTAAAATATATATTAAATATATATTTGCACACATATATTAAGGATATAATTATAGAAAAATCATAAAAGGTTAAAAAATTTTTATTTATGAAAAAATGTATATTTGAGTTATAATATACGTATGTACACTGTATACATATGTATATTACATTTTCCAAATTTTGCTTGTGATTTTTCAAAATTATTTTCACAGAGAATATATTTATCGTACTGATACGATAAAGAAATTATTTCGCTTTTACATAAGTGGATATTTTGCAACAAAATATCTCTCAAGAAAAATTTTTCGTAAAAATAGTTATCAAAGAGAATACATATTCCAAAATATATATTTGACTTATACTAATTAGTAATTAGCTTAAATGTTAAACCGTACACATTTCTCGAGAGCTTTGAGATGAGAGGGACGAAATTGACGTGGGTAGGGGAGGGAAGGAGGGCTCCTCAGAATGGGTCCGTCAGAATGGAGAGGCCCGGCAGAGAGCGAGCTGTGACCGCGGCTTCGTCGTAGCCATAACAACGCTGCGTTCACTCTCTGGTCCGCTCCTTTCTTCGAGCGCACGTAGAAACTGCGTATAACGCGCACCGCCAGAAATTCACCCGAGCACGCACACCACGTCCCTCTCACGCGCGAGGGATACGTGCGTATATGCGTAGCGTCGCCATCGCTCTCGCGTCAAGAGATATTCGGCTGGTCAAATCTACCCCGCTGTTCTCAACCCTGGTATTCGTTATATTCGTATATCCCAATTTTTTTTCATTTCTACGAGCTACTTGTGTGCATATTTTTCAGCTAGCGCAATTAAGCTTTTCAGACAAAAGAAAATGGTGCAGACTTTTTGATAGAGTTCTCTTTGATAGAGTTTCTTATACATTCAAATATTTTCAGAGATATATAAAATTTGTAGAATAAAAAATGTTAGGCTTGGTGGGCACAGTAGGTTGTGATGGGCACGGTTTGTCCGGTTTTTGACCGGAGACTCCGGCTTTTAGACGAATCTCCAGCTCTCTGGGAAAATTTCCGACTCAAGGAAAAATTTCCAACTAATTTTGATAATTTTTTTCTTACAAGAAATTAGTAATATTGAGATGATGATGAATAAAAATCTTATGGATTCTTTTCTATTCTAAGTCTTTTTAGCAATACACACGATCAAATAATCTGAAAGAATGGCAATCACATCTGAAGTTTTCTGGAAAAGAAATATCCACGCGACAACAAGCTTAATTTTGATGACTGTTAGAGAAAATAACAAAGTATTGTGTCAAATGTTGCCACTTTTTTTTCTTTTAAAAATCGACTTTCGGCGGAATACTAATTTTCTTTTAGGTTCTTATATACAAAATTTATATTAAATATAAAATAAATATAATTTAAATATAAAATAAAAATATATAATTAAGGCTTGGTGAGCACAATGGTAGGCTATGATGGGCATAGTTGCCATTTCTCCGATTTTTAAGATGGTAACATAATAGAAATAGGTAAAACAAGCAAGATTAATTTGTGAAATTTCTTTTAAATTATTATTTAAATTATTACATAATTTAAATTATTTGCAAGTCTATATTTATCAATTTCTGCGATACTTTTCAGCAAAAGAACTTTGTGTTTACTAAGAAAAGATTTCAAAAATTAATTAAATATAAAGAGATCTTCAATATAACTTCTCTCGCTTCTCATCCGCTGAATCATGCACTGGATTTTTAGAATTAAGCGAGATCGTTTAATAACATTCTCGCAACATCCAGCTTTCCTCTCCCTTCCTCTTCCTTTCGAGAAAACAATTCTTTTCTTGGTGGCAGAGGACCAAGTTGAACTTCCTCCCCTTTTCTCGTCCTTAACGTTCTCCTGCTTCTCGCCGAAGGCCCTAGGAAAAGGAAACGCGACGCCCCATTACCGTTTTATGACGCAGCTTCGGTTACATCTCCCGTTTCACCATTGAGCTGTTCGCACTACCAATAGTTTACTACATAAAGGCCACGGCCGGCCCTCCGCCGCTACCTCGATTTATCTTCGCGTGTGCCGCGCAAGAACGAGGACGCGCCTTTTTCCTCGTTAGATCGAGCAATACGGTCGCTACTCGCTACCAAGGGAGGTGTGAAGACACATTAACATAGAAATGTTAGCGCTAAATACGGTTTTTTTGAATGATTCAATTTTTTTCTCAGGCTTATCTGCTATAAGCCTGCAGTTTAATATAGACTTCTAAGTGTCGAATCAAGCTAATACAAAATTGATGTTTCGATTCTCTTATGCTTAGATTTTTAATTTTTAGAAAAAAATTAGTAGAATATTACATAAAATGTTCAAGTTCTTTCTTCCGAGTTATGCGCCCGCCTATTACATCGTAACGTAGACGACATTAATAGCCTCTCCGAAATATTATCGGCAAGCTCTAAACAAGTCCTAAAAATCTCCCTCTCGTCCATCCATCCCATGGTCTCCGGACTCTCATTCGTCAGGATGAAGAAAGGGACCCGAGATGCAGGGCGTTGGGGTACATGTAGGGCGTATTCCTTTAAATCCGGACCTTGAGGCTGTGAGGCGCGACCATAAAAAAATGCGCGGTGCGACGTTTGCGTTCGACGGAGAACGCGGGCGCAGGAGAGAGCGTTCCGTGCAGCAGCCAAATCATCATGGTTATGGGCGGAGCGGTGGTTATACATTGCACATGGACCACCGTGTGTGAGGTGCGCACGCATACGCGCACCACTTCGCGGTTCATTTCCACGGAACGTCGTAGAACAATACCCAAAGAAATAAGGTAGACTTCATCAACTTCGGGATCCTTTTATTCTTCTTCTTATACCGTTCGGTAGCTTTATACGATAATTAGAAAATTTTCGGTACGCACATGTCTATATTCTGCCTTAATATACCTGTTGACCTTAGTTAAGATCTCAGTTTTCTCAAAATTAACGACTTTTTCTTTTTCACCGTCTTTTCACTAACTTTTTGACATTTTCTAAGACAATAAAGACACATATGTAAAGACACATATATCTTTTTCATCGTCTTTTCAATAATTTTTTGACATTTTCTAAGACAATAAAGACACATATGTCTGAGGAACCGAATATTTTTTTCTCACATAAGAGAAGAGATTTATGGAGGATCATTTCCTTACAAGGGTCAAAACTATTTAAATGTGGTTTTTTTGTCAGAATTTTTGGCTTGACCATGATTTGGCTTGACCATTGATTTTTATTAACTTTAAAAGCCTATAAGAGAATGAGTTTTTACCGACACATTGACTTTTAACAATTTATTAGTCAGAGACAAAAGTAAGGTGTTGAATGTGTCCGATTACTGCCCTTAAAATTTTTTAGATTACTTAAGGACCATCCTGTATAAGAAATAGCAAAAAAAATTTTTTATAAAAAATGAGAGAATTTTTAACACATTGAATGTCATATCGGTCACTGGTGATAAGTGTTATCGTTATAAACTCAATAAAAATGCATAATTTGTAACAAATAACACTTATAATTCTATGTATAAATATAATTAATATTGAAGAGTAATAACCTGAAATAAAATATACTACGCACAATAATTTTGCATGATTTAACTATATTACGTAATATTTTATCGAGATGTGAATCTAATAGTAAAATTTTCAATTTAGCGCAGAGAAAAATAAATTAAAACTACAGAAGGTAAATAAGGCAGATCGGCGCAGTTATTAGCAATTTACGATTTTTATAATCTACTTTATTCTCACGTGAAACATATTATACGTTTCGGCTATCCTTTTTAGTCAGTGTCTTCAGTGACAATTAATAAACTCTTGCTCATTTTTTTAATTGCGTATCCTTCCGCGGTTGATAAGCGAAGAAATAGTCTTCAATATCTCCGACTACTGTCCATGCAGTTGAAGGGCTGCATGGCCAAACTCCAATACAATAAGACGCACAATCCGCATAGTCGCAACGATAAATTTGTATAAATAACGATATAATAATAAATAAATAATAAAAGTGTATAAATCGTAGTCCGAAATTAAAATTAAAAAGAAAAATGAACGTGACCGAGATACCGAACGTGAAAGAGATAAAACTGATTTCGTTGCACTCTACACGTCAAAATTCATGTGAATAATGAGATATACTATACATAGAATAATGAAATAACGAGAACAACGAAAAATGAATTAGCTTAAAAAATAAAGATTATCTACTCTTTTCTCTATTCTTGGGTTACCCTTGATTGAATGAAAAAAAATCTAAAAAAATTTTCATGCTTGACATGACACATTTCTTTTAATTTTGACACCTAATGACCTTTAAATTAAGCTGTTGCGAATACATATGGTTATATGAAGTTTTCGTCTTGTATCAATGAGAAAAATAACCTTTAAAATCTTTTAGAATATTTAGGACCCAATTGTCAAAGACACAATACTAAGTAAAATATGAAGGGATCGAATGGTTAAATGAATGGATTCTGGTCAAAACCTAAAAAGGAATCCGGTGTGGCAATCCCGTTTGCCACTCGTACAATCTCACTTTAGCAATAAAATAACATTGTTCGTGAATGGCCCACTAAATAACCGTTGGCACTTGGCATGCTGAATGTGTGTGAATGCGGCAATCTTCGGTTACCACCATCGGTTGATTACACTTTTTCCCGTTGTCGGTCTTCTATTGTACCACGATCCACTCATTTAGACATTTGATTTTGATTAGATTTCTTTATATTTTACCTCATACTGTGTTTCGTCTGTGTTTCGTGAGTGTCCTTTCCAGTAAATCTGTGTGAAAAGCAAAAACGTACTTGTGCTATTAAATTGGATATTCAAATTGGACATTAATCTAGCATTAACTTTGATTTTTATGAAATACAGGATAGGTAGGATACAGGTAGAATTACAAGAAAGATATTAGATTTATTTGACTAATTATAAAAGATTATATGTATATATATATATACCTATATATATATATCTATATATATGTATAGCCAAAAAATATTTTTAAAAGTTAAAACAAATAATGGGCATCGAATCAAAAATTTCAAAATTCTACGAAATAGTACGACATTATTATATTCTAAAATATTTTTTTTAAGGTATTTATCAAACATTTTTTAATATCATAAAATCGTAATTTATTTACAGGGATATGCTACCACTGAATTGTCAAGGCACGACTAACAGTACAATTAGCAGCTCAGTGAGCAACGGCGGTAGTATCCAATCTTTACAGAGTATCGATTCCGACAGTCCGAATCTCACAATGTCACCTCTGTCAACCATGGGTATGTCACCAGTCATGAATCCATGCAGTCCGATGGGTATGAGTCCCATGGGTCCTCATCATGGTTACGCTACTCCTACTCCATCATCCGTTCATACGTCACATCCTCATAACGGCGGATTGAGTCCCATGAACGACGTTAAGACTTTGTGTTACGGACGCAGTGTTTACGACACAGGTAAATTAATTATTCACAACCTTTAGAAAATATTGCTATAAGATCAGTTTCGGTAAAATTCGATACAACCTTAAAACCATCGTTGTTTGGTTTATTTTTTATCCTATTATAACGGTAGCTTAGATCTTTCATTTCAAATTTGTAGCACATCTCAGTCCAGAGTTATTAATTATCGAAAAATGCCAAAAGTGCAATTTTTAGTAACTCTTATAACAGATTTGTCAAAATCTTGACATGCTAGAGACATTTCACGCCCAAATTCGTGTTTTGTAATCAAAAATACATAAAAAAAGACTTATTACATTTCAACGTAAATTTCGTACAGTGTTATCAGCGAAACTATGAGATATACAGAAAAATGATTTTAGATAAATTTTTTATAATTTTTTTAAATACTTTATAACTGTGTATTTAGATTTTGTAGAGAATTTAATATTTTTTAAAATACTTTTATCCCCAATTATTATTTTTACAAATTTTAAATTTTTTAAAGAATAAAGATTAAAGGAAATTTTATACCAAATTCAACCATATATGTATAATAAATATCAAAATTGTTAAAAATGTTTCCATCAGAAATGCAAAAGATATTCAAAAATTCCTCCACTTCGACATATTTTCTAGCACAAATTAATAAATTGTTTCCAGCTTTTTGAAAATCGTTTGAAGTTTTGCAGATGACTTCGACAGCATTAAATCAATTATCATTGTAGTCCTAAATCCTGAATTTTATTCTTAAAAAGTGTCAAAGTCGACGAAAGAAATTTTGAACACTTTTTATGAAAAATTAAGCAGAATAAACATTAAACAACATTTACTTCAATTCATTGCTTCTTTACAAAAACGACTTCAATACCTCGTAACCCTGAAATCGTTTGAGATTGGATATACGTTTATTAAGCATTTTCGACTTAGTTTTATATGCTAAAGCCGTACCTGTTTTGCCATTAACTTCAGAGACATCTGTACAAGAATTTATTGTGTTTTTAAGTTAAGTCTTTATGTATTTTTAATTTAATTTTACATAATATGATATTATATAACTTAATATATGAAAATTTAATTTCTTTCTTTTTTTCTCTCTCTTAATTCCTAATTTTTTAACTTTACATAATCCATAGAGTTGTATATAAAAAATATTATATATTACAATTTTATACAAAATATTAGTGATTGGACGTAACGTTAATAAGTACGGATTCCTTCGTTTACTCAAACTAGTCTATTTGAAATTATCATTATTCTAATTTTTAATATTCTCAATTTTTAAGGTAAAGACGTGGAGCAGAGCTCGGTTTATTACTCCAGCCATTCTAGTATGCACCATCAGTATTATCAGCAGACTCATCATCAGATGATGTCTAGCTCCCATCATCATCACCATCATCAGCAGAGCGTGCCGGCCGGCTACGAGATCATGCTGCCGCCACCATCCATGTGACTAGCGGATTATGAGGACGATCGAAGTAATCAAGGTCTTCACAGTCAGAATGATGACGTGGTGACGCGTATACACGCCTTCGCCTGATCTCTCCGCTTCTTCTCTCGTCTCGATTCCAAGCGCACGCAATAAAGAACAGTCTATGTATATTTGGTGAATTAGTTGTTTCACAAAACAAGTGACACAATCGTTTTTAATTATTTTAATTTTATTTTAATTACTTGCCCGAGAAATGTTTACTTAAAAAGGTACCGAATGTTTTGTTACATATATATCAATGTGAACAATATAGTTTCAGGGCTGGGTAGTATCTAAGTAAAAAAATAAAAGTTAAGTTAAAAAGTTAAATAATTTTAACTTAACTTATTATTAGTTACATATTAGACTTTTAATTTTTAACTTAATTTAGTTACATTTTATCGGCAACTATTAACTTTTAAAGCATTAAAAATGTAACTTCAAAAAAGTTACATTTTTAGTGCTTCTTTTAAATTCAAAATAAAATACTTATAGTCTGGCCGCGGGAAGAAATCACTGCTCGCAGATCTTCTATACATTAAATTATGTTAGAAGTCCTTCGAAATCGGTCCTCTTTCCGTGGCTCGACAGAAATAAGTGTAACAAATATACACTTTATTTTAGAAACTTTATTTAGAAATAAAATTTTAAAATGAAAATTTTAACTTTTAAATTTTCAATTACTTTTTTTATTAACTTAACTTTTAATTCAATTAATTTTATGCTGGACTAACTTATATCTTAACTAATTATAAGTTAAATTTTTAAGACTGTTAACTTTAACTTAACTTACTTAAAGAAATATTATAACTTACCCAACCCTGTATATTTTATAGATGCCACGTTTAAACAAATATAATTTCTTCTTTATTGTATAACTCCGAGAGTTTAAGAAACACTGAAACTAAATCCATTTTAAAGTGAGAAGGTACACGGTGACTTTTTCAATGATCTTTTCAAGCAATTTGTATGTCTATTGATGCAGCGATAAAACACGATAAAAAGTGATAGATAATTTATATCAAACATATATGAGAAATCTAAAATTGTTATTACTTAATTTTTATTAATTAAAATAAATTATAATTATTAATTGTTTTATAATATTAATATTATTACTAATATTAATAACAATATTAATATTATAAAACTATTAATAATATATAAACTATATATGACATTGTAATTATAAAATTACAGCTGTAAAATAAAATGTAAATCAATGTTCGTATTAATCTGAACATTTTTAATATCATCTCTAAATATGTCTTCTTGAATGAAAATTACCGTGTAACTCAAATAACAAGATCATGTTATATATGCAGAATTCGGAGTGCAATCGAATTTATATCACGTAGCTATGGAACGAGCGAGTCTTAATCAATGAGAAGACGAGATCATAAATGTAAAAGGGAAGGAGATAAAAAAACTGATTTTATTTCGCGCACCTTTCTTTAAAGTATGTCCTATAGGACATATTTAGTATGAAGCTATAGCTTCGTACCAAAATTTCTCTCACATAAATATGTCACTATATTTGAGGGATTTATTTATATATTTAAACATTTTGTAATCACGAAAAATGTGCGCTTTACAAAAAATAAAATTAATTTTTTAAATGCTTGTAAATCCAAAGACTTCAAGACATAATTGTAAGAATTTTAGTATAATTTTTTTAAATATATTTCTTTCTTGTGTCAGTCGCGGATTAATCGCCTTCTATCAATGAAAATTATATAATAATTAATTGTAAATCTCTAATTTCGACTTCTCTGAATGCCGAGGAATTCAGAGAATTTCTTTGTTTTAATTTAATATCTTATTTCTTATAAGATATATTGAATATGCGAGTGAAAACAACCGGTAGTGAATGTAAGAAAGATGCTTATTTTGTTAGGTGTACGATATTTTTTGACGTCCTAAACGTATGTAAACGTATTACGTGCTATTGTAAATTATTGCAACAAAACTACAGAATTTGTAGTAATTCTATAACGAAGCTTCTGGCAAATTATGATGAATCGTAAAAAGTGAAAAAGCAATGAACGTGTAGCGCAGCTGAGAAAAATCATGCTGCCTTATACTTTTCTTTTTTCACAATTGTATATATACGAGTAGATAATATACGGATTATGTATGTAATGTATATATTGCTATAAAAAAATAACAATGTATTATGGATTTTTAATAAATAGACCTGCGTGTTCATACACCCATCCACACACACACACACACACAGACACGCACACGCACGCACACGAACACGCACACGCACATAAACATATAAATCATACACGCGAGTACTAATCGTACGCTGCTTCTCATCCCTGCTTTATTTTGTAAGAAGTAAACACAAAGCTGTATCATTATCAATTTACATATATATACATAAATATATTATAAATGCTTTATGTAAAATACATATTCCTCCAAACATTGTGCATTTTCTTTAAACCTCAATTTTTTTATTAATTCTGGAGCAAGTTTTTTCTCAATTGCATTGTTTTAAATATTTTTTTATAATTGTTTTAATCTATAATGTCAAAATGACAACGTTAATAGACATTAAAAGATTTCGCGGTTTGTTCAAATTCTGTTAAAGTTTATATTAATTTATCTGGAAAACACGAGAAGGAATATATTAAAACTGTATTAACAATCGAAATAGTAGGTTTCTTCAAGGAGTATTTCTGTATGTACAGTTGATAAATTCGCAATCTGGGAAAAGAAACTGCAAGATAACGCAAAGGATATCAAGGCTAATGATACTTAAATAATAAAAATAATTTTTATAAAATAATCAGTTACAGTATCTTTAATTTGTAAAAAGAAAGTAAAGGAAAGAAACAGGAAGAGATTTTTAACGTTCGAATATTATTAAAGATTTTAATAAATATTATCTTTCTCATTATATATTATCTCATCGATAGTTTACATTTTAATATTATCTCTTCAGTACAAAGAAAATTTACGGTAGCTTTTAATTATAAATGAATAAATAAACAAAAAATGTGTTTGCTAAGAAAACCATATTATATATATATTTATTTCTATTAGTGATATGGCGATATACATAATTTCAATGCGTCCGCAAAAGACAAAAAGAAAAGATGATCAAAATCTCATGTTTTTCATTGAATTTCCGATTACAACATCACATATCAACAATTTTATTTAATCTCGATTTATTTAACATACAAGAGCTGTTTCTTAACATTGCGCGTCCAGTATGTATAGCTGTATAATGTACGTATATATTATAAGTAAGTCTAAGTTACATTGATATGATCACGTTACGGGGTATTTGTACAAAGAGCGCACAAGTACAACTACTCGATTTGTTCGTAACTGCATTCAAAAACCGGTCATAACGTTCGATTTAATTAAGAAACTGTCAATTATTTAATCTATTCTCTTTGTTGTAACGATAATGATCCTGATGTCTTTTTGGATGTAATCACAAAAGAGCGCACGCGAGTAGTATGACTTTAGCTTTTATTATCATTTAATTTCTTTAATCGAAAAAATTAAATTTCTTAAGTATATATCGGTACCGTGTTACAACAATAAATATTCTCAAGATCTGATCGTATCGCGTTTTTGAATATTTATAAATGCCAAAAAAATTCAGGAATAAAGAATTGTTTTAAATTTTTGCAAAAATAAGATTGATTAGATTTAAGAACGAATTGTATTTCTGCTTTGTCAAAATAATGAAAAATATCCGCATTTTTCAATCATCACTTTATATATTTTTTTCCAAACGCCCTAAATATTACGCTTCGTTCTCTTTTATGCAAATAATTGCGGTTATCTAGCGCGGAATATAAAACATGTTCCCATCGTACATTCCGTGTATAATGTCTTAAGTTAAAAATTTTCTATATAAATATGATCAATTTTTATGAAGGATATTTCATGTTTTTCAATGATGCAAATAACGATTTGAAATTTCATTTCGTTTCAATGGCAGATTTTATATCGGTGGAATCGATCGACGTCAAACGTGATATTTGTGTTCCTCGTAATTTTTCGCCGCAAACGACCGCGATTTGCCTCGTTTTTTGTCCGACAAGCTTGACAAAAAAGCAAGCCACGTTTAATCCGCTCCTTCCCGGCGCGATTGATTAAATGGCGTCATTTACCTCCCCGTCGAGGGTTGAAACCGAAAGTCAGGGATAAATCGAATACGTTGGACCGGCGTCGCAACACTAGATCACATACTCCGTGGACGCGCGTATACGTATACGTTATAAAATTTCTCGGGAGAGTCGTGAATCTTTTTCCTTTTTTCTTTTTAATTGCAAAGCGCAGACGAGTGTCCAATTCCCGTTTATCACAAATTTTATTGTATGCATTGTCCGCTTGGAATCATCGCCAAGAACCGACTGCGTGTCTGCTAAATTATTACTACTATTGTTATCATTAAGTGTTATTGTTACTGCCGACGTTATTATTATTGTTAACATCCTGCATGTACGATAACAACGAAAGAAATAATCCTTACAGGTATATATACGCTATCCGGGTTCTGTCTCATCGGTATACTACGTACATATTGTCTCTGAAGTACATATACACGTGCGAAATACAGCCTGCGGTTTATGGACAATAAACGTATATTAAGTATGCGCGCACGTGTTTACACGATTACACGTGTATGTATAAATAAGTCTAATGTAGGCTATACGGTTATACATACGAGAGATATATAGGACAAGTCACATTGAAAAAATATATGTATGTGTTTTAATTAGGGAGAGGAAGAAGACGAGCTACGTGCGTTTGTGTAAGCACATGGATATGTATGGTTCATCAGCGGTGGCAAGGGATCAAGTTGTTCGGCCGTGCAATAAGACATATATAGTTCGAAGTAACTTCCCTTCTTCGATGAATTCTCCAATTCTAATCACGTTTACATTGTCTCCATATCAGCCTGATTTTTATTATTTCCATCCATTTTTATCTTTCGAATTTCCTTGTTTTCGTCTCTTTTCTTTATCCCTGTTTATACATTTCCACAAGCATCCCGTGCACCGTACGTTATCTTATCTGCTGATCATTGTTGTTTCCGCACGCTCCACCGCGCAGCGTGAAATATGTACGAACAGGAGAGGTGTGTCTATCTAAGCGTGCTGTTAGTTAGCATCCGAAAATAATTCGGGTTTACCACCCGAGAATTCGCAAGCCGCCGGAGAACGAACTTCCGGACGTGTATGTACAAGCAACCGAGAAGTTACGGAACGTAATCGTGTATTATGTAACGTTATCGCGATCCGCGCACCGGGATACCTGTCGTTTAGCATCGCGCCGAGCGCAAATCTTAAAGTCGATCGATCGTGCCGCGACAGAGTTTCGAAGAGACCGAGGGCTCTCTCGCGTCGTTTTAATTTCATCTTAATCTAAACTTTTACGATATATGTACATGTACCTCCTTCTTCCTTCGCGTGCTGCGGTCGCGGGTGCGATGATTTCATTCCTATGACAACTGAATTGGGAATTCTCATCGGATATAAATATTACACGTTGTACTCGTGACGAGTATATAAGAATGAGAGTTTATATTAATAAAATAAAACGTATAATATAGGAACAGTCTAATAACACAGTTGTTAACAGCTATTAATCTACGTATTAAGTCTATAAACTTGTTCTTACCGCGATAAGGCGGTTTTTAAATAAATCTTAGATAAATTAGGAATTAGTACCTGGAAGAAAAAATTCGAATATATACGTTGAAGGAATAGACGGAAAATGAAATGACGTTGAAACGAATTTTCAATAAAATAAGAATATAAAAAAAATAATAGAAAATATATTTGTTTTTACTTGGTAAGAGATATCCGATAATCGCTTCGAATCTGCGAGTTTGAATATCCACATGCAAAAAAAAAACGAATACTTTTTACTTCGTATAAACATTCATTAATATAATATGAGATAATAATGGTGGTCCAGAGATCAAGGGAACTAATACTACGGTGTAGACCTGTCTCTTTTATGATTTTTTTTTTTTTTTCATTTAAGTTAGAGTCCTACGATGGGTTAACATTAATACATTTATTCTTATATTAATTAATCGTAATTACGCTACGTTTTTATATTATAATTTACAGGTTACGCAATGTGTCATATTAAGTTAAGGGATTCAAGAGGATTCGGCAAACGTATTACGAGGTTGGTGCGAATTGATGGTTCTCTTTTGCTTCTTCTTTTCTCTTTCTCCCTTTCAAAGTTCACAACACTCACTGCCGCTTACAAATAATACTGAAAATCTACTTCAAAGTATTTTCAGCCGCACCCAAAGAGAGAGACTTCCTTACGCAGCATCGTGCGCAACATTCCGCAACATTCTCCGCTCCTGTCGGCATTCGCTTTAACATCGAATTAGCGAGATGTTAACAGCAGTTTCACGCGCCTACGTCTGGCAATGAATTTTCCTTGTAAGACTATCGACGAGTTGCAAAAATCATCCGTATAGCTATTAACTCTTAAAGGAATCTTTTGTTTATTCATAAGAACAGGAAAGATTTAGTATATGCTGGAATTTAATAGAATTCTTAATAAACTTTATATATAATTTTAGAAAAATTTTTCTAATTTTTTATACGATGCAATATTTTGCCATCTATTTCTTTTTTCTATGTCTATAAATAATTAATAACCTCAATTTACAGATAAAAGATCCGTTTAAGAGTTAACGATCACGACACGTCGTATAATCAGAATAATCGTCACGTAAAGTTTCGCGAAATCTTGTCGGCGATCGTGTATAAAACAGTCTTAGCGAATCGAAAATTTGCTTTTGCACATCGCTCGTCGACAAGCGCGCGCTCTCTTTGGGGATCAACAACAGTCTTTTACAAAGGTACGATTTTCTCGTTCCGATGCACCGGGGTGTCGTACACGGGCACACACTTGTAATATTGCGGCGGATACGACGCATACGATGCTTCCGAGGGTGACAGACGGCCACGGAATCGGCTGCGCACGATGTGGATTATCAGTAGCAGACACAGCAGCGCGAGTACGACGATTAACGTAATCGGCACTGTGCCCCAGCCACGGCTGGTAATTTGATTAATCATGTCGTTTTCCTTAATCGTCTGGAACAAATGTAATAACGATAATTTTTAGATTGACAGTCTTTCGATAGACTTGTGTCAATAATTTCATTTTTCGTCATTCAAACACAATTCAAACATTCGCAAATATTCCGACATATAATTACGGAAACAAATTACATATTTAATGTTAAAATATGTATAATTAATATCGTATAACTGAAAAGAACGGGTTAAAGGAATATGATATAAAACTCACAGTAATCGGGCATGTGGGGCAACAAGTACCCGGTTTCGGTGGCAATGGATTAGTGCAGGCCACCGAGCAGATGGTTTCTTTACAATTAAGTCGTCCACCAGGCTCGCAAGTGCAAGTGTTGCAGCTGTTCGGATGCCAAGTCGATCCCTCTGGATGTGTCTCGTTTAAATGGTCCATGCACGAAGCTCGACAGCGACATATCTGCGAGGAGAAATCCATCAGTGCGCTTAATAATCGTTGTACCGATATTTCAAAAATGCCCAGCTTTTTATACTTTTTATACTTTTATATTTAAATTATTTTTAATTTATTCATTCTATTTTTCTCTTTTTATTTGTTCCGTGCGTAAAACAATACAAGAGATATTGGTATTAGGGAGCATTGGCACTTACGGGACAGCCGCGCTTGTTCGTCTTGTAACCGAAGCTGCACCTCTTCCTGCATCCGACAAGCGGCGGACAGCCAGCAGTGGGTGGCTTGCACTCGCAAAAGGTGCAGTCGTTCTCGTCCATGATGAGTTCGCAGTGAAGGTCGCACTTGACCTCGGGGCAGATCCTTTTGTCGTTCGTGGTATCCGGGGCGGTGACATTCGGCGACGGATAACGCGATGGCGTCTGACAAGCGCATACCGGGCAACCGTCCTCGTCCTTGACGAGGTCGCAGTTCAGCCCGCAGTGCGGCAGTTCCGGGCAAACTTTGTAATCTTCCGGTAGCACGTCCGGCACGAGGTCGACCTCCTGGAGAAGACGAGAGTCGTCAGTGTTCGCGAAATAGAAGCCGGGAGCTACCATTGCTGAGAGGAAACCGCCGGAATTCCTCTTATTCGCGAACTTCGTCTCGCGCGCGATGATTCCGAGAAGAAAGCTTCTCCAGCTGCTGGTATGTTTCAGAGATAAGAGAAACTGTGTCTTTGCCTTAGCTAGGTTACGACTGAAAATCCGTGCAGCGGACGGTTGTTGCGGATGGTTGCATTTAGGTAAGGTTGATAGGGAATGTTTCGTGCAGGTGGATGAGGAGATACTATGTGAGAGATTGCATTATCATCGTAGGTAATCGTCAGCCAACCCCGGAGCTGTTCTTGTTTGTCATATCGTATTCTAGATTGCATAGTTTTGTGTTTGTATTATAATATCTTGGATATTATATGTCTACACACCCTATTAGAAAATTATTTCCAAACAGATTTATTCAATAAAAATAAAAATGTTGATTAAATGTAAAAAAATGTAATTATTTTAATGCAACTTTTGTAACGTTATTTTTCTATATATTTCCTATTTTTATTTTATATCTTGGATGTTAAATAACATGGTCTAACATTTAAAGCTACTTTTAAATTTGTTCAAAATTATCCATAATTATATTTCGCATTCTTACCAAATCATCGGCGCATTCGCAGATGGGACAATTATTCTTGTCTGTTCGAAAGCCGTGGTAGCATTTCATCTTGCAGTCGTCTATTTTGCAAGACTCGTCAGGGCGATCAAAGGTCCTGTTCGTCAGCGGTGGACAGTGAGGGCAGCATTCGCCTGGATCGGGTGGTATCGCGTTCTCGCAGGACTTGCACATGGTCGTTTGGCAGGACGCGATTCCGTCCTCGTTGCAGATGCAAGTGATACAGTCGTTCTGTTTCCACTCCTCACCAAGTTTCCTCGAGACGCCCTCGTGAATGCAGTTCTGCGGTTTCTCTTCAGCCTTCACCCAGGAAATCGGATCTACAAAAGATAACGAATAAAACGGAAATTCGATAAATCGATATACATTGACGTTTCTGTATACGTAGGAATACATTTTATTTTTGAACGAGTAATGTCCATTTTTTTCCTCTAATGTAGATAAACTTTAATATCGGTTTAATTTACTTTTTATCTTCTAGTTTTGAAAATTAGAAAAAGGTAAAAAACAAGTTAAATTGAGATTAAAATTAATCTACATTGATACAAACGAGCATAAATAGTATAATAAAAATAACGATTAACAAATTTTTCCATGAAATACTAAAGAAAATAAAGAATTGTAATTTATACGGATTTAATCTATACATGATCCATTAGAGAAAAGCAAGAGTAAAAAACTTACAGGTATTCTTATCACCATATCTCATGTAAAGTATCACTTAAATATCGGGTAAAAGAAATATTTATGGATATTTCTGATAGTAGAACTATTAAGCCGTTCCAACATCATTTCCTCCCTGAGATTTTAGTGATACGCTAAAAAATATAGGAAATATTTTCTGAAGATAGTTTATAAATAACTCATAGCACCGCCGCCGGGAAGCGTCGCTAACCCAAATATGGTAGTTTTGAGAGCGAACGAGGGAAACTTGGGGGAGCGAGTGCCTCGGTGTTTCCCGGAGTTTGCGAAGTCTCGCATAAAAATTGTTGCGACGGATTTTTCGACGTTGACGCGATCTTCTCGCACAAACTCAATCGCGTTTTTAACAAATCCTTCAATCTTGGCGAACAAATTTCTCTAGAGCCCGACGAAGAATCGTCGCGTTATTAGCAAGGTACCAGGTTAATTAGGCATACGAGATTACGAGCGCGTATAATCGTCGACCGCGCGCGCGTTTACGCGCTCCACTTCGACGATCAAGTCATTATTCGGCGATTTTCCAGTGGTGACAAGCACTCGTCCGGTAATCATCAAAGCGCCGGAAATTGCAGAATCTCATAAAGATTTGCAATCTCGCTTAATATTCATAGCGCCCTTAACACGCGCACAAAGTTGTCTTACGCCTCTCGTCGCCGGTTAATAACTCGCGAAAATTTGATTATCTACGACATTATTTCGTTACACGGACGATCGGGGAGGGATCGTATCGTTGCCATTAAAGCTGTCGAGCGTTCTCGATGTAAAACACCGCGATTAAGCTTCCCGCGATGACTTCGCTATTCACGCGGGCGTCGTATTTCGCTTAGAGCGCTTTTATTTATGCGCTCTTCTCTCTCTTCTCTCCTCTCCCTCTTTACACAACCGAGTGCCTGTACGTGAAATTTACATGCCCAAGTGCGCTTCAGCTGGATAGTGAAACCCTTGGGCGCTGATCTTTTCTGCATGAGACAATTCTATACGCGCGATGATTTTAAGTTGCCACGTCGGCTGCATTGATAAGAGACGAACTTGTCGTCGCGTCGAAAATGTCATGTGCATTATAATCAGGTAAGTGCATTGTTCCATCTTGTAAAAAATTCAATTTTCTCGCACGACTCAACGGCTGTAAATATAAGCTGTGGATGCTGCATTTGCGATCCTCCGCGCCCACGTGCGTGTCGCCAGCCGAGAAATCCTCGATTATTACCTCGTTTATATTAGGCGTCGATTTTATGGCGCGTATAGGTATCTGCTCTCTGCATCGCGGAAAGACGCATGCGGGTCAGACAGTCGACCCGTGGATGCAGTACTATGTTCTACCCTCAGCCGTCATTTACGAGCGTTCATTCATAACGCCTTCTGAACTTTAAAGTGCGCGTTCTCATGAAAAATCGGCTCGGTAATGCAAAGAGGCAAAAACAATTTTCGTGAGCCTCCGCTAACGTGCTGCCGGGCGGCCGGGCGAGCTCGTAGCTCCCCATTATTTCCTTGTCGCAACACACGTACAGACATACGTTCGCGTTGAAAGGGGAAAAATTTGCACAAATTTTTTTCATCGGCTACATCGCTCGTCGGCTGACTGGCTGGTTGGCTGGCTCTGGTTGGCTGTCAGTGATTCCTCGCGTAATACGTTTCCCCCGCCGTTTCATATATAGCTTACACCGCCGGAAAAAAGCTAAATTCGTGAGCTTTTGTAAGAAATATGAAAGAGCGGGTGTTTCCTTTATGATGCCCAAAGAACTTTTTTTTCCGCGGTTTCATTATTCTAGACGTTTCATTATCCTTTGTAATCTGCACTGCGGCAAGGGGACGATATCGACGGCCTAAATTAAGGGCAATAATAAAAGCGCTGTTGTAGAAAATATTAAAGATATAATCTCTCTTAGCAAAGAGAACGGAGGTTCGAGTAGAAAGATGTGCTAAATGAAGAATTGTAAGGTCTATGAGCTGCGAAACGAATTTCCGATCCAATATCGTAAACCCTTAGGAAAAATTACGCTTGAATTAATATTCCGGGCCGACGGAATGGAAAATAATTACGCGGAAAAACGTTCGCGACGAATCAATTGTAAATATCGTTAACAGCTTCGATTAGGACACCAAATCAGTCGCGAAATAATTATTTTTGTAATTAACATAATAAAATGTAATTAACATGTAAAATACACCTTTGCAGCGAAAATCGAAGTGAGAGAACATCTATCTGTATAATTTAATCCGGTTGTATCGCTATTTACCTCAACGCGGTATCAGGGTTTACGTCAATATTTATTATCGCGTGTACTTTTCGACGAAAGCGTATTAATTAAACGAGGCATCAACTATGTACGCGTGACCGATAATGCGGACTATGGGCTAATGAATATTGTTAACAAGGTAGAACGCTGTTTAACTGTCGCGTACCTGTTTAAACACCGTCCTGTGCGATACAGAACCGGAATGAATTTACCGTATGATGTAAAATGGTATTTAATTGCCGAGAATTTGATCGATAGAAAGAGACCCGCGATATCCGAGAGCTATTTAATCGATCGAATACATTCGAACGTATTTAAATATTCCGCGTATTTAATTTTTTATTTCTGCAATCGAATATATTTTAATCATTCCGCTCGCAAAAGCTGCTTAAAACTCAGCATTTATTGAGTATGACATCGAGGCAACGCGTTGTCAGATAACTTTTAAATACGAAAATGGCGAAGCATACTGAAAGTATAACCGAATGCAATAAATTGATATCATTAAGAAAGCCAAGAAGAATAATTTTTTGTAATAGTAATGTTTTTACAATAATAATGTTTCTATTGTAATGATTTGTACTAACTATAGCGTGACTGTGGTGAAAATATTATTAAATTTTAAAACGGGCACGGAGCACTATTAAATTTTAACAGAAAGAGAGAGAGAGAGAGAGAGAGAGAGAGAGAGAGAGAGAGAGAGACACACACAGAGAGAGACAGAGATTTCTCGAGATAAGAATGACTTCATTAAAATTCAACAGGTAGATCGAAAGTTCTGCAGCGAGAGCGGCGACAGTGTAACTTTAAACGTCGTAACTTAAAAACCGCCGCTCGCTGAAATATCGCATTTGAGCATTATCTCTGCTTACAATCTGCGCGACTAGCATTTATAATGCTGGTAGATTGTAGAATGAATTTGAGAAAATAATGGTAGCGTTGGTATTTAGAAGACTATTTAATTCCCATTTTTATAAAAACTATGGAGAAGTTTATAAGATAGTCTTTTCTTGTTATATATGTATTATGCATCCATAATATCGCGCACGCGCGGTGTGTGTGCGTGTGTGCGTGTTAAAAGCAGCAGGATTTATATCGCTGAATTAAAAAATGCACTTTATAACACCAAAATTACTGGAAACTTCTGAGAACTCCTTGGATTTCAAGCAACAAGAGAGAGAGAGAGAGAGAGAGAGAGAGAGAGAGAGAGAGAGAATTATTTTCTTCGTTTTATTGTAATAATGTCTTCTCTCTTCTGCGATCTCATTATTCTCGTCATATGTTTAACATATATACATTTCATCTCCTTCTGTCCTTTCCTCTCTCTTTTGGTAATGGAACGTGGCGCATCCACAGGAAATGCGTTGATTACGGATCGAGGAAGTCCTTCGTGCCGATATTTGAAGTACATTGAGGCTATAAGCTCAACGAACGAGCTTCCCTCGTCAGATTGCAATTCGAGCATCCAATAGATGGGAAGAGAAGGGGAGAGAGAGAAAGAGAGATATGGAGGAAGACAGATGAAGGGGGGGGAGGGAGAGCCGGGGGAGAGAAAAGCAGATTCCCAAGATATCGATCCGATATACAGCGTATTCCGCGCGCCATTCCTACCGTCTGACAGGAGCCAGCCTCGATTACGACCTTTCGTAATTACCTGAGGGTCTGCAGTCGTGAAGGGGGCAACAGCTACCGGGTGTCTCGGGCTTGGCCGCCCGCACCTCAAACGGTCGTTGACCAAGTCGGCACTTGGGCAGCGGACACGTCGGGACGCACTTGCAAATGCCATCGTTCGTCAGGACGCTATCCTCAGGACAGAACGACTCGGTCCGACGATGGTAATCTACAAAATCGGTGTGATTGGACGCCACGAACTTGTGTTAATCGACTCGTTAAATGAGAAAGGTGCACTCTATTTCTATATGCTTATTACGTTAATTATTGTAAGGCAATTTATAAAATACGGTACTTATATTTCTTAACTGTCGGTAAAAACAAATATATTTTTAACTTTACGAACGATAAAGTCAATGTTGCGTTCTATTGGCAATATAAGGCTTAATATTTTATTTTCGAGATTTTATTTATCTTCAGTAAATATTCAGTAGATATATAAGTGTTTCATCTTAGCTGTCTAAAATCAACATTATCATCAATCTAACGTTTTTCAAACGGCCCGGTTTAATCAAAGAAAAAGCGCGATATTTACACCACTATCGTCATATCATTTTCTTGGTTCCGCAACAGTTCGATCTTCCACGCGCACGGCCATTCGTTACACTCGGCAAACATTATTTTCCACCGCGAACACGGTCCCTTTTATGGATTCTATTACCTGAGGGAACGCAGTTGTAGCGCGGGCAGCAGTTACCGGGGGTCCCAGAAAATGATCCCCTCACTAGCATCGCCTGCTGACCCGGACGGCACTTGTGGGGTGGACAATCCGCACATTTGCAACCGCCATTCTCGTTCGGCACGCTGTCCTGCGGGCAGCCGTCGACACTGTGCGCGGCTCCTTGAAACAGAAAAATCGCCAGTGAGATTAACGTCAGGTCCAGAATTCCCGGGGACGGTCGGCGATATGTCCGACGAAGGACGGCACCGTTAAAGCGCTCCACGTCGAAAGATATCTCCGTCCCGGGGTGTTGGATACTCCGGGATTCTTCTCCAAACGCTTGAAATTGCGCCAGGCTATTCGGTGTACTTTATTATCAATGGTACTTTGCACCAATTTGCTGTCATACGGAGTGCCCGAGAATTACGGCCATTACTTTCGTATATTCCTCGACCTTTAGAGAAAATCGCTTATCTTTGGCAGAAATATTAAGCATACAAATAGCATCCGAGTTTCGAGCAGTAATTCTACAAAGATTATTTTAATTATTTTGATTTTTAATTCAATGATATGTAATATATTCATGGAATAAGGTCAGGAGCTCCAAGAAAATATGTATGTTATTAGCAGGAGCTTATTCTCAGATGATATCTATTCCGATTTCTATTCATTATTCACTAATTGAGTTTCATATTAACGACAGCGACTCGTTCTTTTTTGTCGCCCAAAATAATAAATATAATGACGGCAGTAATTTTCTGAAAATAAATTTTGCACGCGATTTTCTCCGCCCCGAATGAATCTTTTAAACCCCTTCCCATTAATAACCTGACAGCAAATGCTCTGTAATTATGTTGATATATGTGACAGGCAAACGTGTGCGCCGGGTCTATGTGAAAAAGATGTCGGTTCTTCTGTGCGGACCGCTGCACACCAGTGTGTTACGAGTTATACCGTGTGTACCAGTGACATTAATATAAATTCCCAAATGAGTAAGGAAAAGAGATATATCCTTGTCAGAGACGTGGCGAGGATCGATTATTTTATTCAGCGGATTATCCCCCGACCGAAGATACACCACGCATTGTCCCATATGTGTTCGCGGAGATTCCGTCGTGCTGGAGATACGAAACGAGAAAAATAGCGAGCTTGATGGATGCCAAACCGGAAATCTCGGAGGTATGCGATGCGCTGAGGTATAAAGAGAATGATAAGCGGAATATGAAGATAGTGCGCGAATTCACTATTCATTTTACCGGCGCATCGGTAAAATTCCATTCCCGGCAGTTTTATAAACGAAAGCGGATTATTTTCTAACGAATTTTTTAATTTTATTTGCAATCGCGGCGCCGCGGGTCTATTTGTTTTTTTTTCTCTTCGTGTGGGAATAAATACTCAACGTAAAAGTCTCGACGAGACTTATCGTAAAGACGTCTGAAGTTAGATATTCAGAGACGATCGTATTTAATTACGAGATGACTGTAAATTCTCAGAACTCTATCACACGCAAATGTTCCTAACGTGAGTCATCGTTGTCTCATACATATTAAATGTGTTTGTTTGCATATAGAGATAATTTCCTGCAGATTACGTTCGTGTGGTCTCAGGTTGATCTTGAAAGCTCAGCGAATTGTATTGTGAAATGGCCACAATTAGAATTCTCGTGTCGTCCATAATTTTCTAATCAATTGTTGTATTTTAATTTAATTATTCGTTATATTGTGTAGTTTATTGTAACATTATTGCCGCGTTATAAAATTAATTAAAAAATTTTCAAATTTTCATATCATACTAAATTACTTGTAGAATATAAAATTTTACTATTGATTTTACCACACGAGATATATCGCATACGACATTCTGATAAAAAAGACATTGCAAGTATGCATAACTGCGAGCGACATCGGAGTCTCTTAAAGTTACATGATATCGCAACAACGAAAAACCAGATGTGGAAGAAATACCACAGAGTCAGAGAGAAAAGAAAAAGTTTAAACTTGTCCTTTGTATAGATTCGGGAAAGTAGAGTTCGTATATGTACATGGAGAAGACACTTCCTTGTTGTAGCTGTTAAGGAAAGCGGAATATTCGATCCAGAAATTTTTAGAATCATCCTGTAAACGCGAAACTGCAGGAAGAATCCCGCGAGACAAACGCGAATCTTTGAAAGGAACCAAAAATTCAGTCACATAAAATATGGTAAGAAAAGTCGTCATACGAAATACTTTTGCAGAGAAGAAGGTCGGGCAAAAACAATCGCAATTCAGAGAATAAAAAGAAATTAGCTTTCACAATTAAAAGTTTTCCCTCTGAAATTTAAGAAAGAGGATTCTCTCAAATTCTCTTCTTTAGCATAGCCTAATGGACCTTAATTCTGCCCGTGAAAGTTTTATATCGAACGTCTCGCTCATACTTTTGGGTAGTCTATAAAATATACATCTAAATAATACTTTCATCTTTATGATTAACCGCCATTTCAACGACACATAATTATTTTTAACATCAAAGAGGCCCTTACTAGCGTTCGTCACACACATGCCAAAAGTCTCGTCGAAATCGGCGATTGCGGCTGATTCTCGTATCCGTTGGATGAGTCTGCACATCCTCTGGAACGCGCAATCCGCTACTCCGCGAGAGGAGAGATCGATGACTTAACAGCAAGAACGCCGTGTGCATGATGCACTCACAGTGCATTTCGTGTCACGACCAGTCTGTCGTCCGTTCGTTCTTCGCCGTTTTGGCCCGCTGACATGACAGAAACGAGAAGATACGATCTTCTTCTTCTGCCGGTTGCACGCAGCCTCTTTGTGTTCGGCTTTCGCAATTTCGCGCCGGAGATTTCGGAGCTGGATAAGTCCCGTTCTCGTTACCGCCGCCGCCGGCGAGAAACGGCGGCGAAGAAACGAATAAAACGCGCCTTTCGGTATTCGACGGCTTTCGGCTTTCGGCTTTCGTGACTGAAGGGTACGTCGGTCAAAGGTTATACCGCGGCGAGTCCTTTAACCGAAAAGGCTACGGAGGTCTCTTTCTCTTTCCCTTTCTCAGTTCGCGAAAATTTCTCTGTTATCTCTCTCGGCGATCAAAAGACAATATACATTGGATTTTATAACGTCTGTTTGAAGTCACTGTTTAACGCTCAACTGTTTGGATGCTCTAAAATCTTTTTCAGAAAAAGAATATTTTAGATTTTATTCATTTCTGTGTATTTTGCTATCATTTTTACTTCACAACTGTTTTTGCATTAGGATGAGGTTGAAAATTATTATTGTAATTTCCTTTATCAACAAAAATTTTTTACATACAGATAAAGTTAAATAAAGTTTATGTATTGTATCTTAAGCTGCAAAGAACAAATTTTCCCGTAAAAAAAAATGAAAACTTTTGGGCGAATTTAATTAAATCTATTTGATTAATTTTATTTTTTCTTTTTAAAAAATATACTTTACTTGTAAAATACTGATCATATAAAAAGATCTTATATAAATATTAAATTATATCAAATGATTGTATAACTAATTTATTATTGAATTCTCTCAGTAATATGACAAGCGATATAAACATTAATTCAACTTGAATTTTATTCATTCAATTTTTTTTTGTAGCTTAGTGTGTACTGTAAACCACAGGAAGACTTGTATTAGTCATAAGATAGATGACGGTCTAAGATATGCAAAAATATCGAGTTCAATTTAAGATTCCCCGAGGCTTAATACAGAAAGTCGTGGTTTATATTCCTCGATCGAGATCGGCTCATAAACTTTTGGAAAATACAGAAATTTCAAATGCCCGTAAAAACGAACTCGTTGTTCAAGGGTGATTCGAAAAGATCGAGCCACGCGATAGGGTGAGTGCTTTCCTTTCTGTCCTTACATTCTGCCATACTCCTATTTTTTCAAGAATTCTCGCCCACGGGATCGATCGACGTGTTCTTATCTATATATTTAAAATACCTTCCGTATTTTAAACATTCCTTAGGCAGGTAGCGCGCCTAAAGGCACGCGTAAATCGGCACAAATCGCGCCATAAAGATATCAAAACTGAATAAACTGAGAAGTAATCGGCGAAATTAACTTTAAAGGATAAAAGATAAGGCGAAGAAGGACGGGTGAAAATTAGCTTTTGCTTCGGGGAAGCAGTTTTGGGAAACGAAGCAAAATCCATGCAGTGGAATCACGATTCGCGCGACGAATCTCTGCGATACGATCGACATGCCAGCTGATTTATTTCAGCGACGTGTACATGCGACTGTACGATATACCTTCGTGAAACGACGAAGGTGAATGAGGAGAGGAAAGTGGATAATTTCCTGCGAAAAATAACATCGTGCGGTGCCCACGAAATGGGCAGGCGCCATGAGGAGGAAGTCTCTCCTGATTGCTGCCCCCCCGTTGCTCCTTCGACAGTGACGAATGACTGACGAAGGTTCGTTTTGTATTAATAATCGCGCGCTCACACTCCGGACACAATCTTCCTCCAGGAAGCATATTCTCGATTGAGTATACGGTATCGTTGAGTGTTATCGTTATACACGAGCGTTGTACACGAAATAAACGAAAAGTTCGAAAAGGGACTATAACGAAAAATTGCATTAAAAAATTGTATAAAATACTTTCTAATCAATATCACCTAATTATTTTTTTAACAAAAATATTATAGAACGAATTATTTTATTACTTTTAAATATAGTATAGTTTACAAATGAAATAACATTAATATTAGACGTACACAAAATTATATATCAAATATAATTTAGTAATCGACAAGAACGGACTGGACTGACCGCAACTGTTATATGCAGTCCATGTTATACGCACTGTTATTTGCGAAAACATTGAAAGAAATACTATTCGCCATAGAATAATTACATCGTCGAAAACAATGCCAAACGGAAAATATATGGCTCGATCTCATTGGACGGTCTACCATTTGGCAAATCGCGTGGCCGGTATGCAATGGGCGACTTGCGCCTTGCTTGCACCAACAATAAGTTCATTCGGTATGCAAGAGTTAGCGGCTGAGTCCAGGCCAGGACTACCAGGAGGAGGCTAATGCAATATCCTCATTGCGAAACGCCTGCTTGCTGTCGACCCTCTTGCGCGTTTCACGACGACCTTTATCCCGAGCACGCTTTTCCGGGTTGGTGTATTCGGGACCGTCCTTCTACGGATGCTCCTATACTC